CAAGACAGACAGGCTGTCTATACTTCAGAGTGAAAATAAAGACGCGGATCTAGGACATATATGTAGCGCCCCCTAACTACTTGCTTTTTGGGAGATTATATCATGTACATAATACACAATCGCTCCTTTATGCAGAGACACATTGATGGTAATATCTTTGACTGATGCTTTTTAGTTGAGAATACTGATGGCATTTTTCTCATTTCAAACTTCCATAGCTTTTTTAAATATTATGCATGTGATGCTAAATTTTGTATAAAGTTACGATACCTATTATATTCCGCGTGAATTTTCATGGAAACATTTTGAGGGTGAACAATCACGTTGAGTACTATAATTTTTGTCAAGTACATGTACATGACATGAGTAGAAAGGGACATGAGAGAGATGATGCTCACTTGGAACCAACGTAGAAGGATGGCCCAGGACAGAGATTTAAACGAAAGGAGCTTGTAAGTGGCCTATACCCTGAAGGGGTGAAAGGCATTGATGATGACATGTACTATACAATCGTTGTTTTACGTTTAATGCAGAGACACATCGTTCGCGATACTTTTGACTGACTTTTTTTGTTGAGAATACAGATAGTAGCTTTCACATTTCAAAAGTGATATTTCTATATGGTAATATACATTAATGTTAAATTCGACAGCTAGAGAGGAGGTGTAATTGACAGTGAGCGAGCCGTGAGTTCAGTTGGTAATAAGGTATCAAGCTGGGCTAAACAAAGACTAAGAGCCTGTCTAGTATCCCAGCAGGACTCGTTTGAACCTTGTCACTTTGGAGGGTGGTTCTTATTGCTCTCAACACAAGTGACTTGGTCCTTTCAGAGATGAACAGAGAATCGGCGGTCTCAGCGCGTAACCTCTCAGTGTTTACAAAGGCTTAATCCGTACTTCACTAACTAAGAAATAAGTGCACCCAGAAAGAGTCCGTGATTTTTTTGGACAGCGACAAGCAGACGAGAACGCCACAACGCCAGTGCTCGCCATGCAAAAGCACCAAATGACACAGGAAGTAATACTTGGCAGCCATTGCGCAGACACTTTGCAAGTAGGCCTG